AATTTGCACAGATAAGGATTGATCACATATGATATGAATTAGCATAGATCATGATTTTGATTTATTTATATTCATTTTCTAATTTTTAATTTATAAGTCACAGTATTTCATTTGGTCACACATTTTTTATGTATGTATTAGCTTATGCATTTATAAGCGTGAGAGATTTTATGATTAAGGATTTAAAATAGGAGCGTGTCATCTTCCTCGGGCCACTTTTTCATTCACTGTGGACATGCATTTGGACTCTGGTTTCTTTGAATTGTTTTCATTATAAAAAAAGTTTCTATACGTGTATGTTCACTGTAGATGTATTTGCATATGTTGTCACTGGTGGGTTTACATGTATTGGGTGTTAGCGCAACATAAGAATAAACAATTTTACTTACCTGATCCTCTAATTTCCCTGACAAACAGAGCTCCCCTAGGCTCCAGTAGTGGACTGTCACTTGGCAGCCTTACATCCAATGCAGATCTATGGGTCAGGCATTAGCCTTGATGATGTCCAAGAGTATCCAACCTCCCTCAAATGTAAACAAGCAACCCTTTTGCAAGGGAGGATTTTTACTTTCCCTAATTTCAGCTTTAATATTTCTGTTATTCATCAAGAAACATGTTTTTAGATAAAGGCTTCTGACTGTTCTCTGACTTTCCAGATCTGCATATACAAGTATCCTCTGCACCCCATTGTCATTCTCATTGTTCATTACAGTATGCAGCAGTGATGTAACAATAGCCATAGCAGCCCACACAACTGCTCTGAGGTCTGGAAGGATGTGAGTTGTTTAGGCAATTTCAGCATAGAAATCCTGTGTGCATGTGAAATTAGAATAAATCCAGCACTGTATCATTAAAGCGATATTAAACCCAAAACCAAAAATGTTTTAAATTGTGGCTTACCAATCATTAGAAGTGGTGGCTGCATCAGTTTTCTTTACTTTTTCCTCTTTGTTTTCATCTTGTGATCTGGCCAGTAACACACCTCCTGTATTATACAGACATCACTCAACAACAGATGATATCAGATGCACATGAGGACTTTTAAGGACCATTATTCTTAAGCACAGACCACCCTTTGCAGGCTGTGTAGTAAGTAGTATTTGCTCAGTATTGAAGATATATTGCCCTTAGAGCTGCTGGTCATCCTGGGCAGCACTGAAACTAACTCCTAATGCAGTCTTCTTCAGGCTGAAAAAAATTCAGCTAAAATCTGAGATTTCATTGTAGTTCTGCAAAAAAAAAAAAAAAAAAAGCAAAACAAAACTTTATGGAAGTTTGTATTAGGGTGTAATTGTGTTTAGCAGCACTAACAAATATGTTATAAAATACAGTGAATATAAAATATTGTGATGGTCACCCATTATTACTACTCTTGTTTATTTGTTTATTTTACTGCCTACTATACCACTTCTTTTAGATTTGGTTTCCATGATGCTGTGAGGCAGGGGTGTCAAACTCCATTTCATTGTGGGCCGTATCAGCATTATTGTTGCCCTTAAAGGGTCGGTTGTATCTGTAAGACTAGATGTCCAGAGCACCCCATCATCAAATGTCAAGAATCCCACACCCTCCCTAACATCACCGTGCACCCATTTGGGGGCAGATCTGGAAAGCAGAAAGTGCTGGGTCTGGAAGAGGACCAGAGAAGGAGTGGAGCCAGTTACCAGAATCTGCTGAATGCTGAGACCAGGGGAGGAAGAAATGAGGGGGTGCTGCAGCTGCACTGAGAGGTGCAGGATTTGGCAGAGGAGTTCTATTCACCTCTCCGCTGCTGACTGTTGAGACAAGGTGGGGCGGAGACAAAGGGGTACCTGCAGGACAGGTGCAAGGGCCATATGAAATGGCCTGGAGGGCCTTGTGTTTGACACCTGTGCTGTAAGGGGTGGAGGGGTTTTGCTTTTACATCAAAGCCCAGAGATGCAAGATCCTGAGTTATTAAGGACAGAAGAGTTAACTGGAATATTGATGTATAGATAGATAGACTTTATGTTAATATTAATGATAGTTGCTATGGGGCCTCACATCTATACGTACATCTCTGGTATACAGGTAACAGTACTGTCTGGGCATCTCTTGCACACTGACTGAAGAGCTTGCAGGCCTTAAAGCAGTGGTTCTCAACCTTCCTAATGCCGCAACCCTTTAATACAGTTCCTCATGTTGTGGTGACCCCCAACCATAAAATTATTTTCGTTGCTACTTCATAACTGTAATTTTGCAGTGGGAGGAGTATTGCCACATCACTGATGTCAGTGGGAGGAATAGTGTCCCATCGTTCGCATCAGTGGGAGGAATAGTGTCCCATCATTGGTATCAGTGGGAGGAATAGTGCCACATTGTTGGTGTCAGTGGGAGGAATAGTGCCCCATCATTGGTGTCAGTGTGGGAGGAATAGTGCCCCATCATTTGTGTCAGTGGGGGGGGGGGAATAGTGCCCCATCATTGACACTAGTGTGGGGGGGGAATTGTGCCCCATCATTGGTGTCAGTGGGGGGGTAGTGCCCCATCGTTGGTGTCAGTGGGGGGAGGAATAGTGCCCCATCATTGGTGTCAGTGGGGGGAGGAATAGTGCCCCATCGTTGGTGTCAGTGGGGGGAGGAATAGTTCCCCATCGTTGGTGTCAGTGGGGGGGAGGAAATAGTGCCCCATCATTGGTGTTAGTGGGAGGAATAGTGCCCCATCATTGGTATTAGTGACACCAATGATGGGGCACTATTCCTCCTACTGACACCAATGATACTTACCTTGCTGACTCCTGCTCCAGCCTGGGCTTGCTCCCTCCCTCTCCCATCTACAGCCAGCATACCTGGCTGCAGCAGCACCATCTGCACGCTACAGAAACTTACCTGTCAGCTGTCTTCCTTCTCCGGCCGCTCCCTTGCTTGATCGTCTTTAAACTTCGCGCTGCTGCTCGGCTCCTCCTCCTCGCCAGTGATTGGCCGCCTGTGTGCCTCTCCTGAGCTACAGTTCCGCCGGTCAATCACTGGCGAGGAGGCGGAGCTGTTGAGTGATCCCGGGGATGTGGCCAGATGACAGGGGCGGCATGTCATCCCGCGCACACATCGCGTCCAGGGAAATGTGGACGTATCTGCATGTGGGCAGACCCGCCTGGAGACTAATAGAGGAGCGGTGTCTCAGTTCCTAAGACCATCGGAAATATGTGTTTTCCGATGGTCTTAGGAGACCCCTGTGAAAGGGTTGTTCGACCCCCAAAGGGGTCGCGACCCACAGGTTGAGAACCGCTGCCTTAAAGTATAACTAAAGGCAAAACTTTTTTATTTTAGTTTTGGATAGAGTGGAGAGGGAGTACAACACATGTCAGGTCTTTACTGCTGTCTGTGCCCCTGTTAAGGAGATTTACCATTTCTACTGGTCCTTTTACTGGTATCACTAATAGTGAAAGTGAAAGAAAATCCCAATTTTGGCTTATTACCAGAACAGGAAAATTAGGGATTTACTCTCACTCCCTGTTTTGGCTATGAGACAAGAATTGAAGGGAAACCTCTCCAGTGGGACACAGAAAAAAAAACCCAGAACTGACAGGGGTTATAAACCTCCTTACTCTATCCAAAATAATATTAAATTGCCTTTAAATGTACTTTAAATAGAATCACCTACACCCTTTCTCCTGTCCTGGCCATCATTTAGAATACAGTAGTTGAGCAATAGTCACCTGTGCTAGCAGTATTCTGTATTTTTATTACATTTGAATAGTAAGCCGATGCTGTGAAGGTATTTAGTATATGCATCTTATTAGTCACATTCTTATGGAGCAATGAGGAACATAATATACAATAGCATTTAGTATTGTTTCAATGGGAAACAGTTGTTTAAATTATGACTAATCTGAATTACACACACATGTCCTGGAACACAACCTTGGCAAAAGTTTAGAACTCCCTGTAAATATATTTAATGATTTCAACAACTCCCCATTTTTAACATTACCCTGCTCTTTTTTTTAATTAGACCTCAATAGTTCTTTAATCGTTCTATTGGATCCGTTGTACCATAAAACCAAAACAAAAACCAAAGCATGACTCATGACATATGTGTAAAGGAATCTATGTATGTAATTGATAAAAGCCCTTCTCTTCTTTACCCCGACTTGATACAGCAAACAATAATTCAGCATATGAGCTTGTGAAAGGTTTTCTCTATGATAAACAGCTGCAGGGAAGGTGCTGAACATCCGGAGGAGGATATTGTCCTCTTGGGTCTGGCTTCAGAACATTAGTTTTGGGGAGAGAAATGTTTTCTAAGAATAAGAACATATCCATCCTCAATAGGGTGCACAGATCATTCTACAGCTGTTGTATGGTGAGCCTTTAACTACATCAATATTGCAGTGGGAGGCTGAAAATTTGTACAAAAACGTTTATCCATTAAAGGATATATAAAATATTTATAGTCTGAAGCTGGTATACTAAAGACTTCCACACTGCAGGTAAATCTGCCACATATAGTTTTGAACAAGTTGAAACAATATGTACAGTACCTCTTAAAGTGTTTGTAAACCTCTGACATGAAAATAAACAAAGCATAGCATTCTATAGTGTGACCCAAAGCACCAAGTGCGATTTCTGTCTGCAGTCTGGTTCCTCTACTATCTGCATGAGTAATTTCTAACAGGTTTTGCTGACTCCAAGGGATCTAGGAGGGGGGTAGGAAGAAAAGCACCACTGAACAGCCTGTGATTGATAGCCTCAGCTGTGCATGTTTCCCTATGAGATTGTATAGAGGGGTGTGTGTTACTTTCCTCCATTCAGGTCTCAAATTATACTCAGCTCTCCTCTCTGAACTGTGTACTTCAGATCCACACCCCCTGCCTCTGGAAGCTCAGATGTACTGTGAAAATTCTGGACTTTAAACAGATGTAGAGAAGACATGGCTGCAGATAAACAGGTACAATGTATGTAGGAGGATTTTTTTCATCTCTGTGTATCACATGAGGCTAGACACTGGATATAACATACTGTATGTAAGAGTTTATAACCACTTTAACCACTTCCCGTCCGCCCTATAGCAGAAGTACTGCTACAGGGCGGCACAGGTGCGCAAAATCACGTGTATATATATGATTTTGCATTTCCAGGTAGGGGGCGCTTGCCATTCACAGCCCCAGCTGTCAATCACCGGGTCCCAGCCAGTGATTACACGTTGACGCCCGGTGATTGACGAGCATCTCCAACGGATGGGGGGGGGGGAGAACTGCTTGTAAACAAAATAGTTCTCTCCCCTCTCAGCTCCTGCATACTGTTTTGCATGGCTGTGCATGGCTTTGTGCAAAGTAGTGTGCATAAAGTGAAGCACAAACATACAGCCCCACAGTAAAACACACACACAGCACACAGTTAACCCTTTGATCACCCCAGATGTTAACCCCTTCATGCCCAGTGCCATTAGTACAGTGTCAATGCGTTTTATTAGCACTGATCACTGTATTGGTGTCACTGGGGATGTCAGTGACACCAAGTCAGTTCCCCCCAGTGTCAGAATGCCCGCTGCAGTCCCGCTATAAGTTGCTGATTGCTGCCATTACTAGTAAAAATAAAAACATTTTTAAAATCCCATTATATATACCACCATTCGTAAAAGCTATACATTTCACGTAAACCAATTAATTTACACATATTGGGATTTTTTTTTTTTAGCAAAGACGTAGCAGAATACATTTTGGCATACATTAATGATGAAATTTGATTTAAAATTTTTTTTTACTGGACACGTTTAACCTCTTGCCATCCGCCTGCTGTTTATAAACGGCAGGGCGGTGGCGGACGGCACCCGCCTTTTCTAGCTGTGCGCGCTCCCTGGGAGCGCGCACCACCGCGATCCGGTGCCCGCTGTGTCCTCCGGACACAGTGAAACACCAATCGTCGGACGGGACCTCTGTACGAGGTCCCGATCATGTGATCACTGATTGGCGAATCAGTGATCACATGCAAAGTAGTAAGCAAGATGTCACTTGTGACATCATTGCTTACTATGTGTGAAATCTGTGAATGATCACAGAGGTCACATGGTACAAGGCTATTCACAACAGCCTTGTACCATGTGACAAGCTGTGACCACTCACAGCTCACTCAGTAATTCTCAATGACTGCAGGAATGCAGACAGAGAGAAAGAGAAATGATTGCTTTTACATCCTATATGGGTGTAAAAGCAATCAGTGTAAAAAAAAAAAAAAAAAAAAAAAAAAATCTTCATCACCCTCCACAAGTAGTACAGTGTCACCATGGTGACAGTGTACTGCTAGGGTGACAGTATGTAAAAAAAATAAAAATAAAAAATAATATAAAAAAAAAATAAAATGTAAAAAACAATGTTTAAAAATTATAATTTTTGGTTATAAACTAATTTGGATTTTTTTTTTTTATTAAAAAAATAACGGAATAAATTTTGGCTAAGATTTATGATGAAATATTATTTATTTGCAAAATTTTATTTAAAAAAAACACTTTTTTTCAAAATTTTTGAACTTTTTCATTTACATAGTAAAAAAAAATAAAAATCCCAGCAGTGAATAAATACCACCAAAATAAAGCTTTATCTGTCTCAAAAAAATGGTAAAAAAATTCATATGGGTACAGTATTGCATGACAGCGCAATTGTCATTCAAAGTGTGATAGCGCTGAAAGCTAAAAATTGCCCTGGACAGGAAGGGGTAAAAGTGTCCGGACAGGAAGTGGTTAATATCAAAAAGTTTTTTCTCAAAATTGGAATTTTTCTTTTTATAGCACAAAAAATAAAAATCGCATAGGAGAGCAAATGCCACCAGAAGAAAGCTCTATACGTGGGAAAAAAGGACATAAATTTCAAAATTTCAGTTGGGTGCAGAGTTGCATGACCGCGCAATTGTCAAAGTAACGCAGCAGCGCCGTAACGCAAAAATTGGCCTAGTCTGGAAGGGGGGTAAATCCTCAGGAGGGCAAAAGGTTAATGCATTAAAGTAAAAAAACCCTTCTATTGTTATCTCCCCAACAGGTTACCCCAACCCCCCCAAATACTTACTTGAGCCCAATCTCAATCCAGCAGAGTGCCTGAGCCAGTAACTCCTGCTGCTGTCAGTCAAATCCAGTGAGGAGGGAGCAGGGGTAGGGCAAAGCTGCACTATGTGTGTCAATAGTCAATGTGCGACCATAGGAAGCAGCTGGATCAGGGCTGCTCTGTGCAAAACCACTGCACAGAGCAAATAAGTATAACATGTTTATTATTTTGAAAAAAAACATTGAAAAAAACACCACTCAGGATTAATAATTATAATAAATATATTAGATTCTAGGCCGCATCCTCAATATTTAAAGAGATACTTTCTTATGTGGCATGAAACACTTGCTTTACAATTGCTATTAGGAAAACAGGAAGTCTGCTGAGACCAGCACATTATTATTTATTGCAGGTGCTTATATAGCGCTGTCAGTTTATGCAGTGCTTTGCATATACAGTTGTGTTCAAAATAAGTCAGACATCACTAACCTGATCAATCACTGTTTTTGGTAGAAATGATATTTCTACATGGCAAATAATTTACTAGCAGGTGTAGTAGAGTTATAGAAATCCAACAGACCCAACAGTCATGACATGCATGCTGCTGATTCTGTGTAATTGAATCACTAATTTAAAGGGGCATGTTCAAAATAATAGCAGTGTGGAGTTCTATTAGTGAGGTCATTCATTCTTTGAAAAACAGGTGGCAATTATTACCCTTATTTAAGGAAGGAAGGCAGAAAAAAAAAAAAAAAAAAAAAAAAAAAAACAAATATTGTACATGCTGGTTACAGTGCATTTCTCTCTGAAATTCTGAAATCCTAAGGAAAATGGGTTGTTCCAGACATTGTTCAGAAGAACAGCGTACCTTAATTAAAAGGTTGATTGGAGAGGGGAAAACATATAAAGAAGTGCAGAAAATGATGGGCTGCTCAGCTAAAATGATCGCAAGTGCTTTAAAATGGCAACCAAAACCTGAAAGACGTGGAAGAAAGCAAAAAACTACCATTTGAATGGATAGAAGAATAGCCAAAATGGCAAGGACTCAGCCAACAATCAGCTCCAGGAAGATCAAAGTAGGTCTAAAGTTCCCTGTGAGTACTGTTACAATTAGAAGACGCCTATGTGAAGCCAAGCTATCTGCAAGAAGCCCCCGCAAAGTCCCACTGTTGAAAAAAAGACATGTGCTGAAGAGGTTACAATTTGCAAAGAGCACATTGACTGGCCTAAAGAGAAATGGCACAACATTTTGTGGACTGATGAAAGTAAGATTGTTCTTTTTGGGTCTAGTGGCCGGAGATAGTTTGTCAGATGACCCCCAAACACTGAATTCAAGCCACAGTACACTGTGAAGACAGTGAAGCATGGTTGTGCAAGCATCATGATATGGGGATGTTTCTCATACTACGGTGTTGGGCCTGTTTATCACATACCAGGGATCATGGATCAGTCTGAATACATCAGAATACTTGAAGAGGTCATGCTGCCTTATGCTGAAGAGAAAATGCCCTTGAAATGGGTGTTCCAACAAGACAACGACCCCAAACACACCAGTAAACATGCAACATCTTGGTTCCAGACCAACAAGATTGACGGTATGGAGTAGCCAGCCCAATCCCCGGATCTTAATCCAATAGAAAACTTGTGGGGTGACATCAAAAATGCAGTTTCTGAGGCAAAACCAAGAAATAGAGAACTGTGGAATGTAGTCCAATCATCCTGGGCTGGAATACCTGTTCACAGGTGCCAGAAGTTGGTTGACTCCATGCAACACAGATATACAGCAGTTCTAGAAACAGTGCTTCTACAACTAAATATTAATTAAGTGTTTCAAAGGAAAGCAAAATCTTCAAACATTTTTCAGTTTATATAGTGAATGTTTGAGTTTGTAAGGAAGAATACAAACACTGCTATTTTTTTGAACAGTCTAATATTCACTTTTCTTCAATTTTTTTAGAGGAACAACACAAATTTGATATATTTTTCTTCATGTTTTGATTTGGAATAGAATGTGTAGTGTTCCCAATACATTTGTGTGTATGGAAATAAAAGCTATTATAGGATTTTGAGCGTTATTCACTTTTTTCAACACTCTGCTATTATTTTGAACACAACTGTATATATTGTACATTCATATTAGTCCCTAACCCTTAAGGAGTGTACAATCTAAGGTCCCTAACTTATATTCATACATACACATACTAGGGCCAATTTAGACAGGAGGCAAGTAACCTACCAGCATGTCTTTGGAGTGTGGAAAGAAACCCATGCAGGCACAGGGAGAACATGTAAACTTCAGGCAGGTGGTGCCATGGTTGGGATTTAAACCAACAACCCTAGTACTGCCAGGCGGAAGTGCTAACCATTTAGCCACTGTGCCGCCCCATGCATACAGGGGTTGATTTACCAAAGGCAATTAGACTGTGCGCTTTGCAAAGTGCAGTTGCACTCTGCAAGTGCAGATGCTCCAGAGCTTAGTAAATGAGGTAATACTTCACTTTGCAAAGAATGCCCAATCACATGCAAGGAAAATTAAAAAAAACAGCGTATTTGTTTGCACATGATTGGATGATTGAAGTCAGCAGAGCTTCTGCTCATTCACTAAGCTCTGGAGCAACTGCTCTTGCAGAGTGCAACTGCACTTTGAAAAGTGCACAGTCTATTTGTTTTTAGTAAATCAACCCCACTGTAAACATGACTTAGAGTGTAAACCAGCCTTATATACTATCAGGTTTTCAAACAAGCGTTTGACTTGAAGAATATCAATAAAATGTACTTCAAAATTTTGTTTGCCTTTAACCCCCGATTTTCAAATAAATGTAATTTCCTGTATTAAAACCATAAACACTGCTAGCCTAATAAAAGGCTAAAAGGCAGAAAACTAGAGGGTCTGGTTCCTTTAGTTCAATAGTAGTAGTAGTAGCTAAAGCTGTAGAGGCCCCCAAAGCCTATTCTAGACAAGGGGAACCATTTTTATGCCCCCCACACAGTTTACTACCCGCCATTTGTTATAGAACAAAACCTACATTTATAGAGTACCAGCAGAGAGATGCTTAGAAATGACCCTTCAATGCAGACCTGTAGAGGAAGCTGCTGCTGCTGATGACATTACCCCCCATTTACCGTTTGCATCTAGTCATCACAGATCACATAAAGAAGTTCAAGAGATGCATAGGCCACCTCATTTTGCCACTCATCAGTGAATTCCCTGCACAGTTCTGTACTGATGCACTCTGTTAACACTATACAGCAGACTTTCTCCACCTTGTTACCTTGGAGGAACCCTAAAATAACTTTCTGGTCTCAGGGGACCCCTGCTAATATTACTAATAATATGAATATATTTATAATATTAATAATATTTACTACTAATAAAGAACTATGAATGATCTTAGAAGGACCTCAAACTGATTTCAAATACATGCTGAAGGCACCATAAAGCATGCTGCATTTGCCCAGTGACAAAAGACAACAGCCGGTGACACAGACCTTACCTCAGTTAGTAAACTGCTGTCCAAGGACTCCATGAAAATTGATCAAGTCCATTGTTTGTATTCCATGTTTGAAGCCAATGTGTTTTTACTACAGTATTGCTTCTGACTTTGACTGCAGTCTGTTGTCACATGATTTAGGGTTGCACCGATACCGATACCGGTATTGTACTCGTGAAAATGTTCCCAATACCTGAAACCAACACTTCTGAGGTGCGATTTGAGCCCATACCAAATGAATGGGCTCAAATCTCACTGCAAAGAACTGAATGTGACTTGAACAGGAATGCGGTGCAATTCCTGTCCAAATCGCATGCGGTTTCCCGCATAGCTCTTGTGTAAACCCAGACTTGCCATAAACCAATACCTTTGCAGTGTGATTTGAGCCCATTCATTTTGTATGGGTTCAAACCACACCGCAAAGGTATTGTTACTTGTTATCAGAGAGTACTTGACCAAAAGTATCGGTACACATGCTCACCGGTTAAAAAATGGTATCAGTGCAACCTGAACATGATTCTATCCTTTGAAAACCGTCTTCTGGCTTGCCAAAGTGTATGGTTGAGGGTGTAGTGTGATTCAATGAGGCCAGTGCTAGAATCATGGAACT